AGAAACTGGAAAGTCTCTACATGAAGAAATCTCTAACATCGAGACTTTATTTGAAGCAGTGTCTTTATACCCTAAAGATGCGCGAAGGTACGTCTGTTCAGGAACACTTGGATGAGTTTAATAAAATTGTTCTGGATATGAAAAATCTAGATATTAAACTCGAGGATGAAGATCAAGCTTTGATTGTGTTATGTTCACTGCCTGCCTCATACGAGAATTTTGTGAACTCGATGCTTTATGGACGTGAATCCATAACTTTGGAGGATGTCAAAGCATCTTTGAATTCTGCAGAACTGAGAACTAAATTGAATGGGAATACCGGTGAAAACAAAGCATATGGTTTGTTTGTGAGAGGCAGGACCAAGAGCAGGGATAAAGCTTTCCGAGGGAAATCTGTTGGTCGTTCAAAATCTAAGCCACCTAGAGATAAGATGAACGTTAAGTGCTACTATTGTCATAAAAAGGGACATTACAAGTGAGATTGTCCTTCGCTCAAGAAAAAGGATAAGCAGCATAGTCAAAAACAAGATTCGGCGAATGTTGCAAACGAAAATGAGGTTGATGCGTCAGACAGTGTTCTTACGGCATGCTCTGCTGTTAATTTGTCCAATGATGTTTGGATAATGGATTCGGGAGCATCATATCACATGTGCCCAAACAGGGAATGGTTCACCACATACGAGCCATTGAATGGTGGATCAGTCTTGATGGGGAATGATGCTGTATGCAAAGTCGTGGGTATTGGTACTGTTCGGATTAAGTGCCACGACAAAGCAGTAAGAACCTTGACTGAAGTAAGACATATACCAGACTTGAAGAGAAACCTTATCTCGTTGAGCAGTTTGGATTCCATTGGGTGTGTGTACTCAGGCGGAGGTGGAGTTCTCAAAGTTACAAAAGGCAATCTGGTTGTGATGAAAGGAAGCAAGGTGAATCACTTGTACCATTTGCAGGGTAGCACAGTTATGGGTCCTTCAATTGGCACAAGCAATTCCGTTTCTGATAATGATAGAACGAAATTGTGGCACATGCGTTTGGGCCACATGAGTGAGCGTGGCATGTCAGTTTTGAGTAAACGTGGTTTACTTTGTGGGGAGCAGACGATCTCGCTAGATTTCTGTGAGCATTGTGTCCTTGGCAAGCAATGCAGAGTCAGATTCAGTACGGGGACGCATTCGGCAAAGAGCACACTCGACTATATCCATTCCGATTTATGGGGACCAGCACAGGTTCCATCTAAGGGTGGTGCTCTTTACTTTGTGACGTTCATTGACGATTATTCCAGGAAGGTTTGGGTTTACTTTCTGAAAAGAAAAAGTGATGTGTTTGAAACCTTCAAGAAGTGGAAAGCTCTTGTTGAGAATCAGACAGGGAAGAAGATCAAACGTCTTAGGACCGATAATGGTCTTGAGTTCTGTGGTGGCGATTTTAATGAATTCTGTGCAGATGCAGGTATCGTTCGACACCGTACAGTTAGGCACACTCCACAGCAGAATGGAGTGGCAGAACGTATGAACAGAACTCTATTGGAGAGAGCAAGATGCATGCTCTCTAATGCTGGCATGGAAAAGGATTTTTGGGCTGAAGCTATTAACACGGCTTGTTATATGGTTAATCGCTCTCCTTCAACAGCAATAGAATGCAAGACTCCTTTTGAGATGTGGTCAGGTAAGCCTTGTGATTATTCCAATCTAAAGGTTTTTGGATGCCCTGCTTATTATCATGTTAAGGATGGTAAGTTAGAATCTAGAGCAAAGAAATGTATTTTTGTTGGGTATGCTGATGGGGTGAAAGGTTATCGTTTATGGTGCCAGGAACCTAACTCACCTAAGTTCATTATTAGTAGGGATGTTTTATTTAATGAAATGCATATGCTTGATCAAAGGAAAGTTACTGATGAGTCTACAGGAAAACATGAGAGTGATACGAATGAGGTGGAGGTTCAGGTGGAGCTTTCAGAAAAGACCTCTCAGAATGTTTTGAACAAGCAAAATGCTCCTGTTGATTCAAGTTCAGATGAGGAAGCTGTAGATGAGGTGGAGCAGCCATACTCTATTGCTACTGGCAGAGAAAGGAGGCAGACCCGGCCTCCTCAGAAATATGGGTTCTCTGATCTGGTGGCTTATGCTCTTACGACAGCAGAAGATATGGGTATTCAGGAACCTTCTACCTATACGGAAGCTGTTACTTGCACAGAATCAGAGAAATGGGCTGTTGCTATGGTTGAGGAACTTGAATCACTTCACAAGAACCAGACTTGGGACTTGGTGCAGTTGCCTAAGGGAAAAAGAGCCATCGGGTGTAAATGGGTCTTCAAGAAAAAGGAAGGAATTCCAGGTGTTGAAAATGCTAGATGCAAGGCTCGGCTCGTAGCTAAAGGCTACAATCAGAAGGAGGGAATTGATTATGATGAAGTGTTCTGCCCTGTGGTAAAACACACTTCCATTCGTGTGTTGCTGGCTATAGTTGCTCAATTTGACTTAGAGCTTGAGCAACTTGACGTGAAGACTGCTTTTCTGCATGGCGAGCTTGAGGAAACTATTTATATGGCCCAGCCCGAGGGCTATTATGTAGAAGGCAAGGAAGATCATGTTTGTAAATTGAAGAAATCCTTGTATGATCTGAAGCAGTCACCAAGACAGTGGTATAAGAGATTCGACAGCTTTATGATAGGGAGCAGTTATCATAGGAGCAACTATGATAGTTGTGTCTACTTCAGGAAGGGTTCATATGGATCCTTTGTTTATCTTCTCTTATACGTGGATGACATGCTCATTGCTGCAAAGAACATGTCAGATGTGTTGATCTTGAAGAAACGGCTCAGTGAGGAGTTCGAGATGAAAGATCTGGGTCCTGCCAAGAAGATCTTAGGAATGGAGATTCAGAGGGACAGGAAAGGAGGGAAGTTATATCTCTCGCAGAGGAGTTATATTGAGAAGGTACTTGAGAGGTTTGGCATGAAATACGCTAAGCCCGTGAGTACACCGTTGGCATCCCATTTTAGACTCTCAGCTCTACATTCACCTCAATCAGAGGTCGAGGAGGCTGCAATGTCTCGTGTCCCATACTCCAGTGCAGTCGGTAGCATTATGTATGCTATGGTATGCATTCGTCCCGACATTGCGCAGGCAGTTAGTGTGGTTAGTAGATATATGGCGCATCCTGGAAAGGTCCATTGGCAGGCAGTGAAATGGATACTTAGGTATCTTAGAGGCTCTGCAGAGTTGGGCCTAATGTTTGATAGAAACAGTTCCAACGGTACCTCAGTTGTGGGATTTGTGGATTCCGATTATGCAGGTGATCTTGATAAGAGGAGATCTTTAACTGGCTATCTTTTCACACTATCTAGTTCGGCTATTAGTTGGAGGTCAACCTTACAGTCGACAGGTTGCTTTGTCTACTACAGAGGCGAGTATATAGCAGCAGCGAAGCGGTGAAAGAAGGTATTTGGTTAAGGAATCTTGTTCAGGAACTTGGGCTCCAGCAGGAAGACAATTCGGTTGTCTTTTGTGACAATCAGAGTGCTATATACTTGATTAGAAATCAAGCATATCATGAAAGGACTAAGCACATCGATGTCAGGTATCACTTTATTCGAGAGGCAGTTGCGGAGAGAAATATGACGGTAAAGAAAATTGGTACAGCTGACAATCCTGCTGATATGTTGACCAAGCCAGTCCCCGCCAACAAGTTTAAGCATTGCTTGAACTTGATTGGCATGCTTGGTTGAGTTTGCCCCTTTGTGGGGCTTTGGTGGAGAGGTAAATGACAGTTTTACATTTGTTTTTGAAGTGGATATGTTCTTTTTGTTGTAGCCCTTGTTTCCTACACCGAGTTATCTCACGTAGGCTTAGGGATGCCGAGAGAATGTGTTCGGCTTCTTGATTGTTTTATTTTGGGAAATTCAAGTCAAGGTAGAGATTTGTTAAATATGTTTTGAATTTTATGTACTTGGTCCGGTTTATCATCTGACCCGACATATTTTTGTGAGACCCGAAAGTGGAGAAAAAATTGAGATTTGGTTCGCGACGCGGAGGGTTGGGCCGATAGGCCCAACTCGTAGCAAGCGAACAAATTTCTATGGTGGTTCGCTCGAACTGGAGAAAGCGAACAAATGTCTCGGGGGGTTCGGGGGCATAGCCCCCTAGGAAATTTTTTGGGGAGCACTATTTATATCGCGGCTAGGTTTTCTTATTGAAGTACAGAGAGAATTTTGTTTTGAATGAATTTGTGAGCCGTGAGCTTTTGTCGTTGTTTCGACTTCTGAAAACTGTACTCTCCTTTATTATAGTGGAATCTTGTCTTGCCTCGCCCGTGGACGTAGATCACCTTGTGATCGAACCACGTAAATCCCTGTATTCTGTGTTTGCTTTTTTCCGCGTTTGCTACAACAGAAATCAACAAAAGGTTTCAAAGAGTGAGAGCGTAAGGAAGTGATATATGACGTAGGGCTGAGGATTGGTGAAAAATGAAAGAAGGTTATAGAGGCCGTGTTTTTTCTCTTCACTGATTGAACTTTTGGGCCCGTTTCATGTTGGACCCTGTGGCTATCTGATGGTTCCAAAGAGAGGAGAGGTGATAGGGAATAGACGGCAACCCGATCACTGTCCTGTTGCGCCTGATTGAGAACCATATAATTATTAATGGTCCATGTCCTTTTAAATAAATGTAAAAATCTCACCTAATTCTCATTAAAAATGCAAGGTCCGGTTAGACCCTTGGGCAGCACATTTGAAGCCACGGATTCTGGACCATTTTGACTCTTTTTTTTCCTTTTTATTTTGCAGCGAGGAATGTTCCGTGGTCAAGTTAGCTACTTTTTGCTTTCGTTGCTTGTGTCTAGATGAAAACTCAAAGGTGGTCCACTTATTTGATTATATTTGAAGACCAGATTCATTGCAACTTCCTAATAGCAATTGTTTAACATTTTGGTTCTTGCAGCTCACGTCTATTGTAAAACGAGGAATCCAAATGAAGCACGTGTTTAGACGTACACAACTGCCACAATAGCTATAAAAAGAAGAGCAGTTGTCACTCTGAAATAGCTAAAATAGATCAAGAGCATAGTTTCCTCCAATTAAAAGAAAAGATCGTAAAAGAGAAAAGAGAGAGAGGCAAGGTTACATTTCAAATGGAGGAGGTTGTGATCGTAGGAGGCGGCATTGCGGGGCTAGCGACGGTGGTGGCCCTGAAGAAGGTCGGTGTGCGAGCACTGGTTCTTGAGAGATCAGAGGGGCTGAGAGCCACCGGCTCGGCCTTGAGCCTCTTCCCCAATGCCTGGCACGCGCTCGACGCGCTCGGGGCTTCGGATAAGCTCACCTCCCTTTACACTCCTTTTTCCAAGTAAGGTTCTATCGTTCTTGTAGTTTTTTTTTTGGTAAGGTTGATCAAAAAATCTATCGTTCTTGTAGTTAATATATATATTTTTCCAAATTGGGTTTTTACGTACATATTCTAATTAGATTAAACTTCTCATAATCAAATTTTCTTGCTCGTGCATTAGGGGTTACGTAACCGATATGAAGACCAAAGCCATTCAGGAAGTGCGTTATAGTGCATGCAAAGGGTACTGCAACTCTCAGATTTCTGCATTTGGATCAATGCATCGTCTGTTTTTTTTATTTGTGTAATGCTAAAAGTTTCGATCTTTACCCTTTTTTTTATATATACTTTAGGAGTGGAGGTGAACAAAGAACGGTACACCGGAAGATGCCATTGGAGGTCTTGGCAGAGGAATTGCCTCCAAATACCATCCGTTTCTCTTCAAAGCTCACTTCCATTGAAACCCAAGTGGAACAAGGCTCGTCAATTTGTATCCTCGCGCTTGAGGATGGAACTGTCATCAAATCTAAGGTATCATAACTTCTCATAATCAAATCTCTTTCTAGTTTGCGTGGTAATAATACTACTCCAAAGCTTGTCGCGGGATCTGCAGTTGATCGGTGAATTTATTGTTGTTTGAAAAATATGTGCTATATACGTAGGTTGTTATCGGATGTGACGGGGTGCATTCTAGGATAGCGCATTGGTTAGGGCTCGGCGCGCCGGTCGATTCGGGCCGGTCTGCAATTCGCGGGGTGGCCGTGTACCCGCGAGGCCATGGGTTCAACCATGAGGTTCAGCAATTCGTTGATGTCTCCAAGAGGGCTGGTTTTATTCCTCTCAACGACAAGGAGGTCTACTGGTTCTTCGCTTGCAAAGCTCCTCCAAAAGGTATTGGTACTTCCCCTTTTTCTTAGAACCTCCAATTACAAGAATGTATTGTTGGCACGCATATCAAACGGTCCGAGAATCTTTGTGTAAGAGTAACATTAGTGATACTTAGTTTGGGAAGTGAAGAAATAATTATTTTGCACAAGAGCGTTTGCTAAAGTTTATAAAGAAAAATTTCTCTTCTTTTCATTTTCAATCTGCCTAAGTAATAATCCTCAAGGGCTTACATAATTCCGGTTAATTCGAGGATAGTTTTACATTCTATGCTTGGGGACAAAGCTTCTCTTCATCTTTTCATCTTCGATTTCTATGAGCTTAACTAATAGCACCTCAACCTCTGTCTAACAATATTTTGTAATCGACTCATCTACATTTCAGGTGCGGACATGGGAGGAGACCCAAATTTACTACTAAGAGAAGTGGCTGACAACTTAGCCAAAGACTTTCCTTCGGTGTACCTCGACATCGTCGGCCACTCCGACCTTTCCACCTTGACGTGGGCCCCGTTGATGTTTCGCTATCCGTGGGATGTCATGCTTGGGAACCTGACCCGCGCCAACGTCACGGTGGCCGGAGATGCCATGCACCCCATGACGCCGGACTTGGGCCAAGGTGGGTGTTTGGCCCTCGAGGATGCGGTCGTGTTGGACCGGCACATCAGAAACTCGGTTTCCAAAAGGGGTGAAATTGAGACCCGTCATGTCGGGTTCGCCCTCGAGAGCTACGTTAGGGAGAGGAGGTGGAGGGCGGCGACATTGATCACAGCGTCGTTTTTGTCAGGTTGGGTTCAGCAGGATGGGTCTAGTTGGTGGATGAAGTTCCTAAGAGACGTTGTATTCTACAAGTTTCTATTGGGAAGAGCCGTTAGTGCTAGTAGGTATGACTGCGGCAAACTTTGCTAATGTCTCTACTTTGCCTTCTTCTATTCGCCAACAGCGATCGTCGACCAGGCAATATTATATAAAGGAGCAAATGGACGATTTCCGAAGTCTCACCACAATCATTGTACTTGATGGAGAGACGATTACAACCAAGAAAGGAACAAGAACTCAGCTTGTGGGTTCATTACAAATCGGGAGCGAGATATCACTAATGCATCATATATTCTACAAATTATTCAGATATTTAGTATATCTATGCGTATCTTGTACATGACCAGATTTGTGTCTAGATTCGTGGCATGATATGTCATAGCGGATGTTTTTTTTTTTTTTTGGTTTCAGGCCAATAAATAGGCCATGGTTGTAACATCGAAATTAAGCAATTCAATTGTTTCATTTTTCTCATTTTCTAAGTTGGCATTGGAGTTACGCGATCTTGAGGAAATTTTGAGAGCACTAGCTGCACATCGCACCCGTTGAACACTCGAATACACCTCTGCCAACTCAATACACAACCATGCATCTGTTTTCATAAATTATCTCTACCATCCTTTTATCTCCAAGCGCCACCAGAGGGTCCTTCACAAATGGCCTCACCACGTACTATCAACCTTGTTCCATTGGCCCCCAATCTTGGTTCCTTATCGTGTATGGAATTGTTTTTCCATCTCCGCCCAGGTACACAACGAATTAGATAGTAAATTAGTGTACCAAGTAGACAAAAGAAATAAACTAAGTCTTAAAAGTTCATTCATTCCTGCTTCTGTTGGCCACGAAAATGGCACGCCCAGGATCACCATAATCAGAAACCGAAACACGTTAATGGAGAAATTATCGATTCGCGTACCTGGTTTGGAATCCATCAAACTTGACACGGAATTTGCGACGGTTTCCGAACACGAACTCAAGTGCTTCTCCTCTATACCCTTCGTTAGAACACTGACCTAATGAGATTGCCACTCACAAGAAGAAAGTTCTCTCTAGATCCGTATGTGAGTCAGATTGTGCATCATCAGGTTAGGGGAGGGACTTAAGCGCTATTTATAGAGTCTTCGACCACGGGCCCTCTCACTACGGGCCGGGCTGTACTCGGCCCACACCAGCTAGCCCCATATTAGACTTATTAAGAACCCATATATCTTACCTTTATTACACCAAACTAATTCAGTTAATTTCAATTAATGAAGCCCACATTAAGAAATTCTTACATTCTCCCACTTGGGCGATATTAATTGAAACAGAACTGTGTGCGCACCCTTATATTGGTCTAGAGATTATTCTTAATAGTCAATCCGATCCCATAAAGTCTCGAACACTGAATCATGACGGTAACTGCATGTACTCACGTAGAGCCTCCCATGGTCACGAGTGCTTTTAACTTTACTGATATGGATTCAATATGGTAGTGTGTCAAATGGACAATACCTCATAATGAGTGATACTTCATGTGTTGTCCATTTTGTTAGTCTAAATTCTATCTCCTTAAGTATCACAAAACCTAGTGTGTCACCAGAGAATATCCTTCATGGTTCCAACGAACCTGTATATGTCTTACCTTGATAGTTATCTGTACTTTATGTGTAACAAGATATATCGTTAAGGCTAATACCAAGAATGCCCCATAACCTGTACTTAAGGTTTACACAATGCCTCGAGATTTTCATCAAATATATATATATATATATATATATATATATATATATATATGTACTCAACATGATAAAATTACATTCACAAAAACCTCATTGAATGCAAAAAGTTGATACATATCCAAATGCTACAAAATGTAACAAAATCAGATACAAACTTCATAAGAGCAACATAAAACTAAACAGCTCTCACTAATTAACAGTATCCCATGATACTCCTAAGCCCATGTTAATGACATGTCGATCAAATATACAAGGGCGAAGGCCTTTAGTTAGTGGATTTGCGATCATATCATCTGTCGAAATGTGCTATACTGCAATGTCACCATTCTGAACTTTTTCCTTTATAGTCAGGTACTTGACCTCTATATGCTTAGACCCCTTGAGACCTCTGTTGTTGTTAACAAACAACACTGCAGAGTTATTGTCACAATACAACTGTATGAGTCTATCCACAAAATCAAATACGGTCAACTCTTTAATGAGGTTCCGGAGCCAAATTGCCTGAGTAGCAGCCGAAAAGCATGCTACAAACTCCGCTTGCATGGTAGAGAATGTCATTGATTTCTGTTTCTCACTTTTCCACGATACTGCTCCTCCTGCTAACTTAAAGATGTAACCCGTTGTCGACTTCTTTTCATCCTGACAGCCAGCAAAGTCTGAATCCGAATACCCAACCAGCTGTAGGTCCTGAACATGTTTGTAAATCAGCATATAGTCTTTTGTCCTCTTTAAGTACCTCGAAACCTTCTTGGCAGCAACCCAATAATCGTGTCCTGGATTTGACTGATACCTGCCTAGAAGTCTTATTGCAAAAGCAATATCTGGTCTAGTACATACTTGAGCATACATAATACTCTCAAGTGCACTAACATAAGGTACATTCTTCATTTGGGCTTTCTCAAAATCTGAATGAGGACATTGTGACAGACTCAACTTATCACCCTTAATGACAGGAGCAATTCCTGGCTTGCATTTCTGTATGTTGAATCTTTCTAAGATACGATCAACATATGCTCTCTGAGATAAACCCAATAGTCGGCGAGAACGATTCTTATGAATCTCAATGCCAAGGACAAAAGACGTCTCACCAAGGTCCTTCATGTCAAAGTTCTTTGACAACATCCGCTTTGTCTCATGCAGTAAACCAAGGTCACTGCTCGCAAGCAGAATATCATCCACATAGAGTATAAGGAAAATGAATTTCCTCCCACTGACCTTGCAGTATATACACTGATCTACTTTATTCTCAACAAAACCAAATGAAGTGACAACACTATGAAACTTCAAGTACCATTATCTAGAAGCTTGCTTGAGACCATAAATAGACTTTTTCAGTCTACATACAAGCGTACTTGAATCATCTGCCACAAAGCCTTCGGGTTGCATCATATAGACTTATTCATTAAGGTCTCCATTAAGAAAGGCAGTTTTAACATCCATCTGGTGTAACTCCATATCGAAATGAGCTACTAATGCCATGATCACTCTGAAAGAATCTTTAGAAGAGACTGGAGAAAAAGTTGTTTCATAGTCTACTCCTTCTCTCTGAGTGAAACCCTTGGCTACCAGTCTGGCTTTAAACTTCTCAATCTTTCCTTTGGAGTCCCTTTTAGTCTTATACACCCATTTGCAGCTAATGGGTCTATAACCTTCAGGTAATTCAACAAGTTCCCAAACACCATTATGCTTCATAGACTGCATTTGATCTCTCATTGCATCCAACCACAGTTCCGACTGAGGACAAGAAACAGCTTCCGCATAAGTCACTGGATCAGTCACAGAATCGATATCGTAGTCTTGCTCTCCTATATAGACTAAATAGTCTGGTGGTATAGCTGATCGTCTCTCCCTAATGGATCTCCTTACTGGAACAGCAATAGCCTCATCCTGCACCTGAGAGCCTTGAGGAACTTCATTAGGAGCTGTCTCGACAATAGGATCCTGAGCCTCAACAGGTTCAGTCTGTGGTGTGGGAGTCTCCACAATTATCTGTATGGGAGGAGATAAAGATACAACTATACCCACCATACTATTATCCTCAATAGTCTGTGAGCAGTTACTTTATTCGGCTACATCAAACTCCAGAAACTTAGCTGTCTGTGATTCCACAATTCTTGTGCCTCCATTGGGATTATAGAACCGATATCCCTTCGAATGATCCGGGTAAGATACAAAGTAACACCGAGTGGTTCTAGAGTCCAACTTACTTAATGTTGGATTATATAACTTCACTTCTGCAGGACATCCCCAAACCTTAAGATGGTTTAAGCTAGGCTTACGTCCAGTCCATAACTCAAAAGGAGTCAATGGAACAACTTTAGTAGGTACATGATTCAGAATGTACAAAGCTGTTTTCAAAGCTTCACCCCACAGAAAATCAGGTAAATTTGTCCTACTAATCATACTCCTCACCATTTCCATAAGGGTGCAATTGCGCCTTTCGGCTACACCATTTTGCTCAAGACTCCCAGGCATAGTAAACTGAACCACTATCCCAGAATCCTCTAAGTATTTGGCAAATGGCCCCTTAAGCTGTCCGGCATCGCCTTGCTTGCCATAATACTCTCCACCTCGGTCAGATCTAACAACCTTTATGACCTTTCCCAACTGTTTCTCGACTTCGGTACGAAAAATCTTAAACTTGTCAAGAGACTCAGACTTTTCTTTAATCAAGTATAGATAGCCATATCGAGAATAGTCATCAATAAATGTGATGAAATAAAAATTTCTACATAAGGTTGCCGTATAGGGTCCACTTATATCAGTGTGAATGACCTCCAACAGGTCAGAACTTCGGACTGCAGTTTTCTTCCTTATCTTGGTCATTTTACCTCTACAACAATCTACGCATGTCTCTAGGTCATCTTTAAGAGCATGCAAGATGTTTGTCTTTATCAGCCTTTCTACTCTATCATTAGAGATATGACCAAGCCGTTTATGCCACAATGCATAAGACTGTTCCTTGGGTAGTGGTCTCTTGGAAACAACATTTTCAGTCGTATAAGTGACGTATATGTCATTGGGAGACAAACACAATCTGTACAATCCGTTGGACATATTACAGCACCCAACCTTATTTGAATTAAGAAACAAAGAAATAACATTGTTCTTGATTTCAAAGAGTAGCCATACATGTCCAAACACGATATGGAAACTAAGTTCCGTCTAAAAGAAGGTACATAAAAAGTGTCTTTCAACATTAATCTAAAACCAGAGTCTAGAATCAAGATAACATCTCCCACAAATACAACATTAGCTTTCTCATTGTTTCCCACAGTGAGTCTTGACTCTTCCTCATTTGGCTTCCTCCGGTTTATGAATCCCTGTATGGTAAACGCAACATGATTAGTTGCACCGCTATCAAGCCACCAAGAACTGGATGGTGCTTCTGATATGTTGGATTCACAAATAAGTGCCAAAGAATCATTACCTGTAGGCTCACGTTTGGACAATCAAGCTTTGAACTTTCCACAGTCTTTCTTTATGTGACCTTTCTTCTTACAAAAGAAGCAGCGGTCACCATCCCTTTTGAAGAATGTTTTCTTTGGACCCATATTGTCAGATTGACCGGTAGTGTCATGAGTACCTTTATGAGTACGATTTCTGAACTTTTTATCCTTCCTTTTGTGGGAACCAGAAACATATAAGGCTAGATGCCATTTTTCCTTCTTAAGTTTCTCTTCCTCTGCCACCACCCTTGCTATCAAGTCATTAACTGACAAAGTCTCATCTTGCGAATTGTAATTTGTCTTT